GATAAAGTGCTCAATAACAAACTGCGGTCACTTAAAGAAATACATCTTGATTTAATGTAAAACGTATTATTTTACAAAGTACCTTATTCTTAAATTCTTCAAACGAGCAGAACAGGAAACAGCACCGAGTTATAAAACGATGACCGACCAACAGGATTTTGTGTTTTTTTATTATTGTTGTTTGGGGAAATGATGAACAGCAGCACGGTGGTGCAGTTGGTAGAGCTGTTGCCTCTCGGCGAGAAGGTCGCCAGTTCAAATCCCGGCCCGTGACCTTTCTGAGTGGAGTTTGCATGTTCTCTCTGTGCATGCGTGGGTTTTCTCCCACAGACCAAAAACATGCATGTTAGGCTGACTGGTGACTCTAAATTGTCCCGAGGTGAGAGAGAGACTGAACGGTTGTTTGTCGTTTGTTCAGCTCCACCAACTGAACCACCGTGTCGCCCTCTCTGGGCCTCATCAGTTGCATGTTGACACAATTCTGTTTGCAGCCAAGTGACCATCGAGCCGTACGGCTGCATTTTGTGCAGCCAGTTATTTTGGAAATACACGTTTTAAATAAGCACATGCACATTTGGACCCGTTTATATTTATTACAACCGTTGCAACAAAGTTTGGACATGTTGTAAACCATAAATACCGGTAAAAACAGGATGCAAATCGCATAAACTCATATTTAATTCACAATCATATCAAAAAAGAAACTGCAACGCCTTTTGGAGAAAAAAAAACAGTAATTTCAAACTTTTTGGGAGCAATACATGTGAAAACGTTGAGACAGGGCAAAGAAAAGGTTGTAAAAGGAAATGGTTTTAAATATGAAACAGCTGGTGGAGCATCTTGTAACTAATTCGGCTGATTAGCAACAGGCCATTAAGAGGACTGTTTTCATTATAGAGGCTAAATCACAGAGAAGTAAAGATGGGCAGAGGTTTAGAGGCTGTTGGTCAAAGAAGAGGGGATGCCTCGCAGAGGAAAACATAAAACCTGGAACAACTTTCAAAACTAGAGAAACATTTCCTGTGAAAATGCAGAAAGAACTGGCTGAGAAACAGCTGAAATTAGCTAAAAACCATGCTGAATGTAGCTGAAATAGAAGATCAGGCCTAAATTAACAGAATAAAGCAGAAAAAAACACGTATTTGCTGAATTTGGTTTGAATAAGCAGAAATTGGTAAAAAAAAAAAAAAAGGAAATAAGCTAAATGGCTAAAATTAGCAACAAAAAAGCTGAAAATTAGCTGAAAAGGCAGAAAGAAGCTTAAAATACCAGAAGGAAGTGGAAAGAGCTGAAATGAGCTAAAAAAAAAAAAAAAAAGTGGAATTAGCTGAAAAAGCTAAAATTAGCATAAGAATAGCTTAAAGAGTAGAATAAAGCTGAAAGGAGGATTTTTTTCTTTCTTTCTTTCGGCTGCTCCTTTTGTCAGTGAACTAAGTCGCACGAAGACTTGGTGATTATTTTTACACAGGATGCCCTTCCTGACGCAACCACGGACCACCGAGCTACCACAGCCCTTTGTGTGGAGCAGAGGGTTTCCATCGAGGGCGCCCGGCGGAGCAGATGGTGGGGGTTAAGGGCCTTGCTCAAGGGCCCAGCGTGGGGCAAATTAGGGTGGAGGCAGGTGTGGGTGTTTCACCTTTACCCCCCACATTTTGATGTTGTCTGTACTGGGAGTTGAACCACAGGCCCACCTTCTCTAACCTCTGCGCCACCACTCCCTCATTAGCTTCTTTCTAACGTATTTTTTGGACTATAAGATGCAACGGGTTGCAATATCAGCGAACGGGTCTGTTTTCACACATAAGGCGCATTAAGAGAAACAAAACAGTCATAAGTCAAACTTTATTCAACTCGTTCACAATAACCACAAATAATCGTTTCAAGGTCAGCGAGCACAAACAGAACTGATACACAAGGCGCGCCTGATTTATGAGGCTAAAGGATTTTAAGTGTGCCTTATAGTCCAAAACATACGGTACAAATTTCAGCTTTCAGAATAAAGCTGAAATTAGTAGAAAAAAGTTAATTAATGAATTTATCAGTTTTTTATTTAACCAGACAAATTCTATTGAGATCACGGATCTCTTATGCAAGGGAGGCCTGGCCCTGAAGGCAGCCCAACATGCATGTTTATTAGGCTGAAAGTAGCAGAATTTAGCACCAAAACCTTGAATTAATCTGAAAACAGCTGCAATTAGCTAAATAAAATGCTTGGAAAAAAAGTAGCTGAAAAGGCAGAACAAGCTCAAATTAGCCAAAGAAAGAATAAAGAAAACGTTTGCCCAATTAGGCTGAAAGAAGTTGAAATGTGCACAAAACAGCTGAAAAGCAGCTAAAAGGCATAATGAAGCTAAAATTACCAGAAGGAAGTGGAGAGAGCACGTTTTGGCTGAATTAGACTGAAAAAAATTGAAACGAGTGCAAAAATGTGGAATTAGCTGAAAATATTAAAATTTGCATAAAAACAGCTAAATAGTAGCTGAAATAGCAGAAAAACCTGAAACTTTTTAATATGTTCTTTAGTATGGTAATAATATTTTTTTTTGTATTTTTCTGCATGTTTTGATATTTCTTGTTTTCTTTTTCTTTTTTGGCGAGTCGAGACAGTTTGTGTTCTAAAGAGGCAGGTTTTGGTCGGAGGCCTAGTCCACTACAAGTTCTTCTAGTCCTAAACATTTCATTGCATTGTTGACTTTTTGTTGATTTGGCACATGACAAATAAACCTAACCTAACTTTCAGAAATGAGCTAAAAGGAGCATAACAAGCTGAAATTAGCAGAAAGAGTTTAGAAGAAGCACAAAAATGTTTTTTAGTTGGCAGAACGAATCTGAAAGGAGCACAAAACAGCTGAAAGTAGCTGAAGGAGAAGTATGTAAAATGAGCTCGATTCATTTTCTTTGAGAACAAAAATGGCAGAAAAGGCTAAATATTTCAAAAAAGCTAAAGTTGCACCAACACCTTAAGTCACAGCAGGATTGATCTGAAAGAGCCGAACGTTTTGATTTATGATTTGCTGAAATGGCTGAAAACTGCGGGACGAGAAAGATGCTGAAAAACGTACGGAAGAATTTAAAAGCTGAAGGATCTCAATAGTGTGAAAGCTTCACAAACATTCACACAACCAGCATTTTTACACTTTGAAAAGATAACTGTTCCGTAGTTTCAGCATTTGATATCATGAACAAAATATAGTTTTTTTTATGAGATTTTCAATGAATTTCATTCTGTTTTTCTTCACGTCATACATCATTTAAGACATTTTGTTTTGCTGTTGTCAGTGTGGATTTTAGACCGCGGCGTGTTTCCTGTCACGGGAACAACGAACGAACACCTGCAACAACTCTGGGACTATTTTGAGAGAAAATTCATGACCCACTTTTTTTGTTGTTGTTTTGGAACGTTCAAAATTCAATAGACAAGATGGCAAACGAATGAAACTGGATAAAAAAAAAAAATCAAAACCAACATTACGAGACATTCTGGAGGCCCTTTCTAAAAGTTCAGTTACTACCTTTAAATACGGCGTTTCTGCACACGCTTCGCTGGCTCCAGTTTAGGAAGACTGTCCTGACAATATGTCATACAGGTGGTTGAGCAGTAAGTCACAGACTTATTTCAGTACAAGGCTGGTCCAGCACGTCCGTCTAAAAGGAGACAGGAGTGAGGGAACGTTAACACGAATGGTTTGTTCCTTGTGTGCACGGTTGATGGAGAGCTCACCTGGCTGGAGGCGACGCTGCGTGCAGATGTTGGGTTGATGCAACCCAGTGTTCAGGTTATGAAGTCCCAGCTGCAAGCTGAAGGGATCCACGACGATGCCACCCAGGCACAGCTGCTCCTCGGGTAGGAGGTCTTCTTCAAGCAGGTCCGGGGCTTCCTGCTCCTGGTGGGATCCGCTCATGAAACCAGGCTGGTAGGGAGCGGTGCCAGGGCAGGACAGACTGTCCACGCTCAGATCTTTGAGGATGCTCTCGAACATGGAGGCGTGTTCCCCGACCGGCTCAGGGCCGTGGTGCCCGTCGCAGGCAGCCGGTTGGGCCCCCCCGAGCACATTCAGGCTGTGGTGCAGGTCAAAGCTGCTGGCCAGGGAGGAGATCTGCTGGGCCAGTATACTGATCTCCTCCTGCTCCCTCTCGCTATAATGGTTTGTCGACACGGGTGACTGGAGCGGCGTGAGCAGACCGGAGGGCATTGGAAGCTCTGGGTGGGGAACGTGCTGCAGCTGGACGAGACCCCCCCCACGTGGATGCTCGAGAAGATCAAAGTCATCTGGATGCAGAGACTCCGCTGGAAGCTCACACATTTCTGACATGGAAAGAGAGTCCGGAACCAGTCGAGCATCAGAAGAACACGCTGGGAAGTCGTAGTCCCGAGGCGAGGGGGGGAGCGAAGAGCTGGACGGGAGCAGGTCTTCAAAGGTTTGATCGGTGGTTCTGGGGGGGGGCTCGGCAGGGGGCTGGTGGCAGGTGAACCCCGCTGCTGGATTGGAGTAACAAGAGGGAGAGGTGCCAGGCGAGGACATGTGGTCCAGCTCCTCCTGCTGCAGAGAGGAGCTGGAGGAGGTGGGGCTGTAGGGAGGGGTGAAGAGATCAGGGCTACCGCCCAAATCAGGAGATCTGTCGCCTTGGGAGGGGGTGCACAGCGCCCAGTAAAGATTCTGCTCAGACTCCCTGCTTGCTCCGGCGCCTGGCTCTTCACGACGACCGTTGGACATCCTCGGCCGTTTACAAGCTTTAGCGCCGAAGTTCTGGCTGCGAGACGGCTGCTGGGCGAAGTTCGGCTGATTTGACCCGGACGGCGGCTTGAAGGCGTCGCTGCCGGTCGTCTTCCGCAGAAATCTGGCCTGGGTTTCACTGAAGGGTCGGAAAATGTGTTACGAGGGCGATGAAGACGCGAGTTCAGGTGAAAACGTTCAGCGTACCTGATGATGACGTTGGTGCAGCTGATGCTCCGGCTGCCGCGGTCTTTGGTAGCTTGAATGTAGCTCCAGGTCCAGGACTGGTCTGGACCTTGCAGCCTCAAAACCATCTCTACCCGGAAGCCTTCGTCTGCCTTTACTGGAAAAAAAACAAAAACTTTTTCACATATACTAGACATACACATACACAAAATGGAGCAATCATGTTTTTGCCTGTGTGTGCATGCGTTCATCTGTCTGTTAGCAAAAAATCTCATGAACCACTGGATGAATATTAATGAAACATTTAGCAATAAATCATCGGGTGTACCTCTTCAACTGTTTACATTTTAGAGTCAATCCAATTCAAGATGGCCACCACATCCAACTGACTTCACAAGACACAAAATTAGATCCATTTCAGTCAGTTTTACAGATACTGAGCTAAAGTTTTTTGTGTTACTAGTCAAGAGTCATTCTTAACAGAAACTCACTATAACTCATTGCAAAAGATCTTTGCTTACAACTTTAGCACTAACCGTTGTTTGTCAGTTAGCAAAATATCTTGCAAACTCCTGTATGGATTTTAATGTAACTTTTAGGAAATGTTTACTGAATGTATTTCTATTAAATGTTTTAACTACTGAAGTAAATCCAGTTCAAGATGGCTGCCACAGCTAATTGACCTTAGCCAACACAAAAATGATCACAACTCCGTTGATGTTACAGATATTTATCTAAAATTTGACGTCATAGTAGCTGAGAGTCATTCATAACGATAACGCGTGAGATTTGCATAATGTTGTTTTCAAGGTTTAAAAAAAAAAACAGCTACAGATTTTTCATTTCTCATTTTAAGCTGTTCTCATGAAAGTTGGAGGACGATGTGCATTCTTTCAAGGGATGCTAGTTCTTTCATTGTGTTCATGCAAAATAATGTGTGCAAGGCTCAGTATCTAAAAGTTAAAGCACTCGTTGTGGATTGAATTGATCTTGGTGAAAGGTGTGCTGTGGTTTGTGCACTCACTTAGACTCCTGTGAGAATCAGCAGCCAGTGACAGGTCTTCAGGGTGAACAAGGCTGTACCAGGATCGGCCCGACATTTCATCCGCCGAATACCCCAAAAGGAACAAAACGCTGAAAAGAAAAGCATCCAAATGTTGGTAAATCTCACGAGATGGTTCTGCCTCCGTCTGCTGACTAGGCCTGTCGCGATAAACAATAAATCAATTAATCGCACGATAAATGAAAATGATCGACCTCATTTTCATTTATCGTCTCTCTCTTTCTACTGAAGACACTGGACGACAAAAGGCTCCGGTGCTCTTCACTGACCCCTCCCTTTCTCTTTTCTATTTAAAATCTGCTTTAACCGTCCAAAATCGCATTTTTGGATCGCTAAAAGCAGTTAAGCTAACGGGCCGACCTCAGGGGAAAAACCTCCGTCTTGTCGAAGCGCCAGAATTCACGGTTGAAACCCGTGCCTTCATGTAAAAAGTTTTTCTCTGCAAAAAGAAGCCGAGAACTTGATGATTTTTTTTTTGTTTTGTTTTGTTAAAAGCTTTGTGTGACAAATGCTATGCCAAAGAGCTCAAACCACACCGAGCGTCCGCCATTTTGAGAACCGTAGAGAGACAGTCACGTTACGGGGCCTCCATCCCATTTTTCTTAGAGACGCACTGCTCGCTCCCTGACTATCCATCCTTGGGTTCAAACAGTCTTATACTGCCATCCAGTGGTCAATAAAAGGTACCACACACAAAATAAATTAACCAACATTTCTTCTTAAATTTTACAATAATCACTAATTAATTTCAAACAATATTATCGTTTATCGCAATAATTTCTGAGACAATTAATGACTCAGCAAAATTTGTTATCGTGACAGGCCTACTGCTGACAGCTAACGTTGGGGTTCACCTCTCTGAGGTCTGAGTGAAGCTCATGTCCAGTCCGTGAGCGCTGCTGAAGCTCTGAGAGAAATGAGCGCTGCGATTCGCCGTGGGGGTGCAGAGGGCCACGAACAGAGGCTCGTTGGAACGAGAGGCTGCTGAGAAGCACCGAGGAAAGAACCGGAAGCTCCCGCTGACCAGCATGGAGCAGCCGCCACCGTGTTGCAACCTAAAAGCCTTGGAGGTCTGCATGCAGCACACGAAGCTCCTCTCTGGAAAAATAATAATGTTTACGTGATACAAGGAACACCCCCTCTAGAAAGCATGCTAACAGGTGACAGCTAACCCCTGACCTTACCTGCAGACGCGTCGTTTCTCGTATCCAGATTTGTCCGAACAACGTCCAGGTCAGAGCGTTCCACCAAGTCGTACAAAGTGTCTCCTTGCAGCACATCTACCTGGAGCAGCAGAAACTTCACGTCAACAACCTGAAGCTCCTGCAGCCGCACCAACCTGATGCACAACACCCACCATGGAGAGCCCGAGATACTCGGGCACGTTTTCAGACACGTAGACCAGCTTGCCCTGCGCCGTGGAGACTAGCAGGAAACCGTGCAGCGCTTCAAGGAAGGCCTCGTACGGCACGCAGCAGTCGGATCGCCCCCCGGCCTCCAGCCCTGATGAATGAAAGAGTTCAAGCTTCATTTCCTGTTTGCTCTCTGCAGGTTTTTGATACGAGTCTTAAATAACTTCTCCCTCAGCCGGACAGCGACACACCTGAGTAAGGAAATCACCAAAAAGTTGATTTTATTTCAATAATTCTCTTCAGAAAACTAATTTTATATAGAAACATTCCACACAGTGGGAAATATTTAGTGTTCACTTCTGTAACATTTATGGCTTCCATCCATCCATCCATCCATTATCTTCTGCTTGTTCTAAAGTCAGGTCACGGGGGCAGCATCTTGAGCAGGGAGGTCCAGACATCTCTCCACAGCCTCTTCCAGCTCTTCTGGGAGGACTCCAAGGCGTTCCCAGGCCAACCGAAAGATGTAGTCTCTCCAGTGTGTCCTGGGTCCTCCCCGGGGTCTCCTCCCAGTTGGTCAGGCCTGAAGCACCTCCCTAGGGAGGCACCCAGGGAGCATTCTTACTAGATGCCTGAACCACCTCAACTGGCTCCTCTTGATGTGGAGGAGCAGTGGTTCTACTCCGAGTCTCTCCTGATAATTGAACTTCTCACCCTGTCTCTAAGGGAGAGTCCAGCTACCCTGCAGAGGAAACTCATTTCAACATCCTGGATCCACGATCTCATTCTTTCAGTCACTGTCCAGAGCTCATGACCAGAGGTGAGGGGAGGAACGTAGGCTGACGGGTAGACAGAGAGCTTTACCTTACAGCTCAGCTCTCTCTTCACCACAACGGACCGGTACAGAGTCCACAACACTGCAGATGCTGCACCAATCCGTCTGTCAATCTCACCATTCTTCCCTCACTCATGAACAAAACTCCAAGATGCTTGAACTCCTCCACTTGAGGCAGAACCTCACCCTGGACCCAAAGAGGTCAATCCACCCTTTTCCGACTGAGGACCACGGCTCAGATTTGGAGGAGCCGATCCTCCTCCCAGTTCATGGCTTACAGTGAATGAAAACCCCCAAATTAAATTCCTCAGAAAATCAGCACGTTAAATAAACCCAAAGGATTGATGAGGCGTGGACGGTGGTTCAGGTCGAAGCTTCAGGGGCCTCCACGCTCAGCCCCATCCAGGACCCGGACTCAAGCAGGTCCAGTGCTCCTGTTGAACATCCCCTGAACCAGAGACGACGTCACCTGAGCCAAGGACAAACTGGACCGGACTGATGCTCTGGATCAGGGTTCTGCAACATTTACTAATCAAGAGTATTTTTTATTTTCTGCTACTAAACATCATTTGTACTCGAAGCTCTTGAGGTGCCAGACTTTTATCAGAAACAGGTTTAAATTCCTTCTTTTTACTACTTTGCCACATGTTACTACAAATTCATGTTTTGATGCCTTAAAATAATCTCCAACAGATGCGTAAAACTACTTCCTACTTTTCCAGCAATCCGCCTCAGGTCTGTTGAAAAAAATGGGAATTTTCTCGTTGATTCGGAAAACGATCACATCGAGTCTGAAAGCCGCACTGACAACGATCCGGGTGGACAATGATGAAACCGATCAGTACAATTTAAACCCACGTCAGCAAAGACTGGAGTCGCGTTTAAACCAGTCTGATTTGAAACGATTGAACTGTGAAGCTGTGAACAAACTGCATTTATAACTGAAATATCTGCTCGTGCCTGTTTAAAAAAAAAAACTGTTCCCACGAGCAGCACAACCACCGTGTCGTTCCAAATATTACTCATACTGGGAGTGGATCACCACTACAAAGACCACTTCCTGTTGTCAGATTAAATATAACTCTGGTTTGTGATGTTTTGGTCAAAGTTACCACTTCAGAGCCACACGTGAAGTTTCCAGCCAGTGACGATGTGGGGAACCAAACCCCCTGCTGGGTTTCATCAGTCCAGCTGTCCACCAGGACCTTCTAGCTCAGGGCTGTTCAACTCATTTCCGCAGGGGGCCACAGTTACTGAAAGTCAAGGGCTCAGGGGCCGGACATCCATCCATTATCGTCATTAAGTTTGTTTGATGGTTTAAAATCTGGTTTTATTTAAATATGAACCCACTGGTGGGCCGAGCTGAGTTCATTCGTGGACCCGATTTGGCCCCGGGGCCCCCAGTTGAGTAGCCCTGCTCTAGAGCTCTTCGTGGAGCTTTACGGAGAAGCTTCGTTGGTTTTCCAGCAGGACTCGGCACTGACGCTGCCTAAAGTACCAACTCCTGGTTTCGTGAGCCCATCGCATCACTTTGACCAACCGGCCCGACATGAAGCCGTCAGAGAACCTGTTTGTTCAAGACGGAGAGGAGACCCAACAGCGCCGTTGAGCTGAAGGTCACTTCCAGAACACCTCAGCAGGCTGCAGGAGCCCCGACCACGTACTCAGATTTTCTGAAAAACTTCATTTTTTTTAAAGCTGTTTGTTGTTAAATTACTGAAAATAACGAACCGTTTGGTTCTAATTTAACACGCTGAGGTGAATCTGTGAACGACAGACAGGAAGTGAGCTCTGGAAACCTACCCTGGAAGAGGACACACTTGCGGATGTAAGTGCAGATGGCAGCCATGGAGTGAAGGTAGGACAGGCGCTCCTGGTCCTCCTGGCTGATGGGGAGCAGCGCTCTCATGTTCCTGATTTCATGGTTGATGTGGTCTCTGCGGGCTTTGGAGGCACCTTTGGTGGACCTGTGAAAGACCATGGTCGCCGGGGTCAGAGGTGGGAGAAGCACAGGTGAGAGGAGACCTACTGCCACGCTCGCTCTCCTTTCATGCCCGACGCGCAAAAGGAGAATGACGAAAAGGCCCGAGCGGCTCCAGTTTGGGTTTCTATGGAAACGGCTGATGCGGAGCAGAGACGAGGGCTCTCGACACAACAGGTCTGCATGATCAGCGTCTGCTGCAGCCATGGAGGGCTGAGGGCTTTATAGCTGCCGGGGCTTCAGCGTGGGCGTCACTCACAGTGAAAAGGAAAAGAGGCCGGACTTCTGCTCCCCCCACGTCACACCACACAGACAGCACCAGATCAATGACAAACATGTTTATTCTAACATGTATTCATCAACAGCGCTGCCGCCTGAAACCAAAGACCCGGCGTTGCTCGAAGGAACGCATGTCGCCCGCAACTTCCACTCCACAACCAAAATAAAAATGCTTTTTTTGGTGAAACCTTGAATTAAATAAATATTCAAGACGCCTCTCGGCTACTTCCACATCAAAGTTTAGCTCAGTATCTGTACAACTGACTGTCATGGCCATTAATGTGCTGGATAATGTGGATTAGCTGTGGCAGCCATCTTGTATCAGATTGACTCCAACTGATAAACCGTTGTAGACATTTATCAAATGAGTAATTTATAAAAGTCTTGTTAAATTCCATCCAGTGGTCCATGGGATATTTTGCTAACAGACAGGCTGGCTTTAAGATTTCTTGCTGAAAATTTAATTAAAGATCTTGAATAAAGAGAAGAACTTGTAGCATGAGTTGTAAACAACTCTCAGCTACTACCACACCCAATTTTAGCGCAGTGCGAGTAAAACTGACTGAATTATAGCCATATATTTGTTTTCTAAGTTCGTCTGACCGTGGTGGCCATCTTGAATTGCTTTTGCTCCAGAAGTTATTCAGTTGCAGATTTACATCCAGCTATTATTTCCTGAAAGTTTCGTTCAAATCCGTCGAGCGGTTGATGAGATATTTCGCTAACAGACAGAGTTTACTTTTAAAACATCAGTAGCCATATTTTAGACAAGTCTGTGAGCACTCAGAATGTGTGTTGGGGGTCAGTCTCAGCTACTGCCCCGCTACTACCACACAAATTATTAGAGCAAGATTTTTAAAACTAAATGTGTTATAGCTATTTTTGTGTTTTTAAGATCGGTTAGCTGTGGCGGACATCTTGAATCTGGTTGGCTCCAAAGCATAATCAGTTGTAGATGTTTATCCATTGATAATTTCCTGAAAGTCTCGTTAAAATCCATGACATGGTTTGTGAGATATTTTGCTAACAGACGGAGCGTCTGTGCGAGGATGAGGTCACTGACCTGAACCACCTTAAGAAAACCACATGGGTTTATTCATGAAAAAAAATGGCCTCTAGTTAAAACTCAAACTTTCATGAGATCTAAATAAATGGGTCAGATCCTGGGACCAGAACTTCAGGCTCGGGGCCGGACTCTGATGCTGCACCTCCTTTTAAAGCTGACTCCTCTCATGCGGAGGAGGAACCTGCATCATGGAGAGTCTCAGAGACGACCGGACCGGATTATAATAATCTTTAATCTACAGATGATACATTTAATCTAAGACGAACTGACTTCAGGAGGCAAACTGTCACCTGGGATGGGCTAATGAGCTAAAACTGAGAGTTTAGGCGCTTTATGCAGATCTTTAGCTGATATTTGAAAAATCTAAACACTCATTTTGTGGCATTTTAGAAATAATTATCAGCTGTTTTTCATAATCTCAAATCAATCTGAAAAATTCAGAGATTAACCAGAAAAATTTAAAAAAATCATAGTTTCTGTGAGAATACAGCTGAAAGCTGAACAACTGCTGAAATATCTGTTATAGAAAAATAAAAAAAAGTTGAAGCTAAAAAAAAGAAAAAAAAGAAGCATAACTCAAACTAAAAGCTAAAAAAAATTAGTCCTTGTGTCTCAGTTAGACTTAATGCATAAATAAAACAAAAAATAAAAAAGACTAGCTAAAAGTAACAAAAGGCTGGTTGGAAGGAAAAGTAGCCGGGGGAGAAGCTAAAAGTGGCAAAATGTTACATAAAAGTAGACTTAAGCTAAAGATTGCAACGCAGTAGCTAAAAGTAAAAAAGCTAGGTTGTAGCTAAAGCTAGCAAAAGATTGATTAGAAGCCAAATGTAGCATAAGGTAAGCTAAGTAGGCTACTAAACCTAGCAGAACAGTAGCTAAAAGCTCAAATTAATCAAAAACAAGCAAAAAGTAGCAAACAGTATAGGTAATAGACTTAAGTTAACTAAGCATTGCAACGCAGTAGCTAAAAGTAAAAAAGCTAGGTTATAGCTAAAGCTTGCAAAATATTAGAAGCCAAATGTAGCATCAGGCTGGCTAAATAGGCTACTAAACATAGCAGAACAGTAGCTAAAAGCTCAGATTAATCAAAGACAAGCAAAACTTTGCAAAACAGTAGCTAAAATTACCAAGCAACTATAAAAG